AGCAATGGCCTGAAACAATTTCAGGAGGACTGCTCCAGGCAGCGCCCGGGGAGCTGCTTTGGGAAGGAGAGCTCTGGCTACCTGAGGCTAGTCTTTATTTGCAGGCCTCCCGGGTTGAGAAAACTTCAAATTCACATAGGGCACTGCTCCATGGGGCAGCAGATCAAACCTGGCTACTAGCTGTTTGAGCTCAGCAGCAGAAAAAAGGATTGCTCTGGGACTGCGCATAAGTAGAAGCATGATTAAACTTCAAACATTCGTCCCCCCCCCTTTTTTTTTATACACAGCAGACAGTTATGGCTAATATTTCAATATGGACTTTAAAAATATGCTGCAAATAACTTACTCCAGCCTGCTGGCTGCAGGCTTAAAAATAATAAAAATTTAAACTAGCTGTATTATTGCAATGAAGTCAAATGCTCAGATTTACCTTTCATGAACTATTAAGGTAATGTCAAGTTATTTAAAATGATCTTTTTATTTAACTCAGCCCTCAAGATTAAAATTCAGATATTTGACCATTGACTGTAGTAACACATCATACCATTTACTTCTATCCATTATACTTCAAATGTGGTGCATTTCTCTCTAATTACTCCTGACTTATGTTTCATGGAATCACAGAATAGCCATGGTTGGAAGAGACCTCTGGAGATCATCTAATCCAACTCCTGAATGTTTATTTTTAAAAAGGCAGAATAAAACATGTCATAAGGAAGTAATAGAACAGGGATTCAAAAATTGATGGGGAAGAAGCTGACCAAACTTTCTAGGAATAACAGTGCTTTGCAATCTTAAAAATAGTCTGGAAAAGAAAAGCTCTGGGATGTTCCCAAGAAATTGTGTTTGCTAATATAGATGCTAGCAGTGGACACAGACAGAAGTCACTGAAGAGGAAAATGCATTTCTGTCTCAGGTCAGTTTGTTTGGATTTATGCTGTATGCCAAGCTAGAGCATGAAAAGCATTCAAACAGAATTTTATAGACTTTGAAGAAGGAAGCTCATGTCACCAAGACAACATCTAGAAAAGGGGAACGCAGGATACAAAGACATACTTCTTCCCATCCTATTACAGCTTGGAAACTCCTTAGACAAGCAGTAAGGATGATCTTTTAAGAGGCGATTTAGCCTCCAAACTCCAATGAGTGCCAAGTTACTTCATCTTTCTGATGAAAGTTCCTTCCATCGCTTCCTGCTCTTGGACACCAACATGCAGTGAACAGCCATTCTCGGGAGGCCAGCTGAGGACTAAATTAAGCAGATATAGACTACAAAGCCGCTTTCCAAAGTGGGCATCATGCCTAGGCTCTACATCTAAGCAGTATGCTAGGAACGTGTACCAAGTTCCAGTTAGCTGTCTTGCAAACATCCGTGTTGGGAACCTTGCCCAAACAAGCCTTCAAAGCTACAGTGGCTCTGGTGGGATCAGCATGGGAGCAGTGGGACTGGGACATTTGCCTCCGTGTTACAGGTCTCAAAGTATCACATTATCCATTTAGATAGCCTTTTGATTGAGAGAGCTTCCCTTTTTGAGCTTAGCCCCAAATGCCAAGAACAGATGAGATGGTTTAAGAAATTCTCCAGGTAAAACATGAAAAGGATGCTTAAGATCCAGCTTCTGACGAATAGCTGCACTCAGGGAGCCACAAGGGCTAGGGAAATAAACATGGTCAATTAAATGAACTGATTGAAAAGAAATCAGAGCCCCCTCTGGGGAAAATCTGAGATGTGGTCATACAGCCACTGCAATCTTTTTGGAAGGTGGTAAATGGGGCAAAAGCTGGAAAGAACTGGAGTGCCATACTTATTTGGCAAAAGGTGGTTGCCATAAGGAAGGGAATAATCTTTAAAGGAAATAAAATACAAAGAAAAATCCATGATGGGTTCAAAAGGAGACTCAACCAGCTCACTCAAAGCCTCTTGAAACCTCAGCACTGAGTAGAGAATTCTAATGGGAAAATACAGTAAAGGCTCTTCAGCAAACGTTCTGTCCTTTCTATAGACTGTCCCACAAAATGCACTGGTAGATGCTGAGAAATCTTCCAAAACACTCCAAGATGAATTAACATGAAAGAATTAATTGGAGTGCAAACTAAAAAGGATGGTGCAGAATAAGACTCATTTTCTGTATCTCATTAGAAAAATAGTTACATGCTCATTCATGGGAGGGAATAATTTACTAACAGTTCAGCTATTTTTGATGCATTTGTTCAGAGAACCTCAGGAGACAGTGGGATCACCAACAGGACCACCAGAAGTTAAAGACCTGCATGGAGAGCTGCCTCCTCTTTGTGTCTTGCCTTTGCATCTTTGAGAGTCCAGCGCTGGGGCTGCCCAACTCATGGTGTGCATTGTCTGAGCCCTGAGCTCAAGTTCAGACATAACTGGAACGGGCTGAGCACACATTTTCGCCTAGATAAGTAGTCTGGAAATACCATAAATGTGAATGCAGGCTGTTGAGACAATGCCAGCATATCTGAAAATCAGAGTAATGAGCTCAAGCTGCCGTCACTAGGAGCATGTGTGCCTTTTCCTGTCTCACTTTCTGGAAACCCATGGGTATTCCTGCAAAGGCAGGAACATCCTGACTCTAACCCAAGAGAAGAGCATCTTGCAGAGCTAATTGAGTTATTTACCCGGGAATTCAAGCAATACTTGCTGCTGGGATAGTGGAATTCTTATTTTGCCTGTGGAAGCCAATCACCTGGTTGTCATCGAACTTCGCAAGAACAGAGCAACTCATTGAGCCTTTTCAACCTGCACCAGAAACAAAACTCAAACTTCACATTTTCTTTTTCCTCTGAAGGTTCAATCACAGAGTAATTTAGTTTGGAAAGGACGTATGGAGATCACCTCTATATAAACTGTTTTTCCAAGTCTTTGTTTTTTTTTTGCTACCAGAAGAAAGTCACCTCTCCTTTTCAATAATTTTTTTTTTTGAGGATACTTTATGAAAAAAATTCTCTAATAGGCTAGCTACTGGAAGCCCATCTCACAGGGTAGAGAAGACACTACTTGACCATAATTCCTAGAAGAAGGACATTTGCTTCCCATGTCTATTTCTATGACAATGTCTCAGGAAAATCATGAGACAGCCATCAATGTTGGAAAAGAATGCAGATCTGCCTGGCGAAAAGCATAGGAAAATAAAATCAAGTAGATGCATTTCTTCCTTTTACTAAATTTTGGACTTTTTTTAAGAGTGGAAGACATTATCCTCTGCTGAAGTTGTTCACTTCATCTTACACTTCCCACCTCTTCTTCTGAGTCAACGATCTTAGCCTGTGTGTTTCATTTCTTGTTACTGCTTCCAGATCTACTCTACCTTTTACCAGTCTATTTCCATACTTCTTTTCCTGTGCTTTTTTGACATTTTGACATCTTCCTCTTGGCAGTTCCCACCCTGACTCATATCCTCTGCCCCCATTTCCAGTCCTGTTACTCTAGCCTTCCTCTGGGACACAATCCATCAGCTTCCCCAGTTTCAAGACCTTGCTTACCCTCTTTCTATCCTTTCTACATTTCTGTCATCTCCATGGTCAGAGCACACAAGTCCATCCCTTCCTGAAGTCATTCACTTTCCTTGCCAACTGCTTTGTCTACCAGCTCTGTGAACCCAAGACCAGGGACAATGGGGAGGGGCTATAAAAGCAATATAAAAGAGACCATCAATACATGGCAATGGAGAGACTGTTGCCCACATAATGAAGATCTGGAAAAAAGCCCAAAATCTGACAAAAAAAAATACCTAGGAGAATTTAATGCACATTCAAAGATTAGGGGAAAAAGTCAAAGACTATGTGCTTCAGAAAGGCACTATGGCTCAGCTACCACTCCTTAAACCTGGCATTACCAGAGCTGAAAGAACAATTTCACAGGTCTCCTGCACACTTGCATATAACTAAAAGACAAAGCAGAACTCTGATGCTCCTTTAATGCCTATTCACACTGCTCCAATGCTTATGTTCACATGGCTGTCTCAACATAAAGTAACTGATGCCTTACTGAACTTGCCTACTTGTCCTGTATGAGATACATACTCTTACTGATCATTTTTGTCCAACAAATTTTCTCAAAACCTTTAAGTTTTTCAATTCTAAAGCTATTTAAAGATTCATGTGAGATTCCTAACGCAACCATAAACCTGACAAAATCTGCTGCCAATCTGATAATTTCTCTTTGAGTCTAACTTGGATATATTCCTGCATGCTTCCACAGAATCAACTTAACCTAGTGAATTTCCTCCTTATTCTCCAGGGCAGATGTAGTGTTCTGGCTGTGACTTGAGCAAAGTTCTGTGAATTCTATGGCAAGAACATCCCCACTGTTAGAGCAGTCACCTGAAAGTCATGCTAATACCTTAGCGACATTTTGGTAATAGGTGTAACACCCAGGAATGGAAAAAGACCTGGGCTGCAAGGCCACGTAGGCCTGTACGAATGTAGGAAAAAGCAAATGCTCCAGGAAAAGCTTTCTGTTACTTCTTGTTGCTTCACTCACAAATTTCCCAAGTTCTTAATAAAGTGATAGAAATAATTTTGGTGATGCTTCCCTCTCCATTCTTCCTTTTCTGCTCCCCTCCATGCTAATATTTCCTCTCTTGTTGCCACCTCCCAAGCAGCTGCTACCATTACTACTCTCCTACCTTCACTGCTTTGAGAACTCACTCAGCTTTTCTAGTGTGTCCACTGTACATTTAAAAGATAGGATGTGGCAAAACAAGCATAGAAGTCTGTTGCCCAGACTATTGAGAAGGTTAAGGCATCTTTAAGGTATCTTAACTCACCCTGGTATTTTTGGGCTGTCCCACAGCTCCTTCGCTCCCAGAGGTGCTGGCCCCGCTGTGTCCCCAACACAGTGCCAGCCACCTGCTTCCCCCCACTGCCACCACCGAACCCTGCCTCACCTCGCCTCCCCTTCACCCTCAGTGCCTGCCCGCTGCAGCCCCTGGCCCCTCTGCACCCCACAGACACGAGTGGGGCAGGAGAACAGGTCCCACCTCAGCATGGGGAGTGCAGCGTGTCCGTCCTGCAGCGGCGGCTCTGCTGTGCCTGCGCTCACGCAGAGGGCACCTGCACTGGAGGTGACACGACACAGGAAAACCTACAGCCACCAGCGCGCCTCGGCCTGGGAGAGCACAGCCAGCCGTGCTCTTTGTTTCGGTTTTCAGTCAAAACCTGCCCCCTTTTAACTTCAGGAGGTGCCTCATGAGAGGCCAGCTCCTCCAGCTGCCTGTGACTGCCTCACACCCCAAAACCCAGCATTGCATCTTAGCACAGGGGTAATTTTTTAAATCTTTCCAGCAGAAGCTGGTTTTTTTTTTTTCCCCATGCCCCTCCCAGGCAGGGCTGGTGGCTCAGCCCAGAGAGTGCTCAATGCCAGCACAGCCTGGCAGCAGCCCCGCTGGCAGCAGTGTGCCTTAGCACAGAGGAGTACAGAGGTGGGCAGATGCTGAGTGGGTGCACCTTATCTCCATTAATTTTATTCACTTTTATCTATCCAAATGACCTCACAGTACTTTTCCTTTGGCACTTGTTTTCCACATTGCTGTCAGCACTTCTGAGACCAACAGGCTGAGCATGCTGGCCAGGCTAGGAGGAGGGTAAAAAGGGTGCTACCAAGCACTGCTCTAGCCTAAAAACATTGACTGCCTAGGAGCAGTTCACCAGCTGTGTTTAAGGTGGAGAAGGACAGTGTCACCTGCCAGTCATACCACAGTGGCTAAAGAGACAAGACCACATTACAGTTGTGGGTTTAATTATACTGGAACCTGAAACATCAAAGAGAGGAGGTCAGCAACAGTAACCCAGTAGGCTCTCAAGCCTATAAGAAAAAAGGAAAAAAAGCCTTTTTTCACACAAGGAATCTCTAATTTGAGCCATGTTCCTGCCGAAGTTGATCAGCAATGGTTGTGTTGGCATTAGGCCAAAGTTTTTACATGGTTCCTTCAAGAAAGTCATCTTTCTTCACAGCTGACTTGTCCCTTTCATAACCAATGGTCATGACAAGGCAGATTACCAGCTCTTTCAGTAGAGGAGACCTATTAGTCTGTTTGATAGGATATCAGGATACCCTGCACCTACCCAAAGAGACAGCAAATGTTCCACCCTTTCACTAGTTGGGAAGAAATACCATAAATCCGGCCCACGCATAAAGAAATCTTCTGTTGCCACTCTGAGGAAAACATGACAGAGCTCTAGTGAAAATCACAACTTCTTTATAATTACAAAAACCACAGTGTCTTACCTCAACAATGCCCATTCACTTTGCTAGCACATCCATACATACACTTGTTCCAGGATGGGATCCAACAAAATCACTGCAAAAGTGGGATGGTTAATTTTTATTTCCCAGGTTAGGGCTGGGGTTGTTCTTTTTCCTAGCCAACGTTTGATCTCTCTGGCACTACAATACTGCTTGCCTGCCCACCCTACACAGTGCCTATATGGGAAGAAGAATACACTGCTAGAGCTTGCAAGGTTCATTTAAGATACACAATACGCTAATACAGTCTGTTAAGTCTTAGAGAGTGATTTTTAAAACAAGCAAAGAAATGTCTTCCACTAAAGAAAGAAAACTCTAATGTGTGAAAAAATGCCAGTTTAGGTCTGTGGTGTCATGGTCCACAGGGGAGGCTTTTCCATCCTCAATACTAATTATGTGCTGGGCAAGATACAGCACTATACGTTAAGCACTATATCTGATCAAGCCAAAGACTTTTTTAAATGGTTTACTAGCTATTAGGTATCCTGCACTCTACACACTGTGCTGACGTAAGATTTTACTGCTTGTAGATGCAACTGCCAAAGACTAAAAGGTTTGATTTACTCGAAGTACACAAACTATACTACTACTCCTGAATGCTTTACTGGGGGGAATCCCCTTAAAGAAGAAGAAAAATTTCTGGCCAGCAAGTTGCCAGCGAAAAAGATCCAAACTGGCTGAACTAAACCTGCAAGGCAACTGATACAAAAGCACAAGTGGCATCAGTCTCTGTCCTCCTCTACATATATCTTGAGCTGAGGGGTATGGGGCTGTGGTTGGGAGCAGGAAAGAAAGAAGGGTTGCAGAAATGCCCAATGTGTGGACACTGCACAACTCAGTCCCCTGACAATCCCTTTCTCTGGTGCCTATCTGTTGGCTTTGTGGGCAAAATTGGCTGCTCATCGCTGGTAGCCAGCAAGCACACAGCCTGGTGACCTGAAAAAGCCATTGATTTTCCCTGTCCGTAAGAGCACGCTCTGCTGAGTTTGGAGCCGTGTGCTCGTAACTTTAAGGGGGTGCGCTTTATTTAACTGCGCCTTTTCTTGGCCTGAATTTCCCCCAAAAAGCTGAAGAGGGCATGTGCTTATTATCTTTTAGTGCAGCATGTGCTCGATGCAACCTGAGCTCTTCGGATACTCCGGTCTGAAAATTAGAAAAAAAAAATTAATTGCGAGGAAAAAAACAAGGCTGCTCTGCGACTTTGATTCAATCAATTACCATTATCTTCCAGCGCAGCCCTCCCCGCCGCCCCCGGACCAGTTGTGTTTAACTTTCTTTGCCAGGCGCGGCCCCGCAGCGCGCTGGCGGAGCGGCGCTGCCGGCTGGCTGCCGCACGGGGCTCTTATCAGCCGCTCCCAGTCAGCGCCGGCCCCGCACAGCTGGCAGGGACCCCCCGGTCCCCCGTTATCTGCCAGCGCAGCCCTCGGCCGGGCGGGGAGGGGCCCGCGGCCGCCCCGGCCTCCCCCCGGCCGGGCCGGGCTCTGCCGCCGGCCGCCCCGCTCCCGCCGAGCCTCCTCCGGCGAGCCCGAACCGTCTGAAGAGAGGCAGGAACAAAACCGCAAATTTAGATTAATAAAGCATTTGTTGATTCTACAGAAACTTAGCAGGCCCCTAAGAAATCCACCAGAGACCTGTGCAGCTCCAGTAATTTTCTGTTATATTATCTTTCTTGTAAAATACTTCCCCAGACAGAGCCCCCAAAGGGGCTCAAATATCACTGTGACTAACCGAAATCAATGTGCACTCACCTATTGACATTTTTACATAGTTTTTGGATTTAGTATCCGGCCCAAAACACAATCAAATCTTCTGCCAAGGAAATAACAGGCACTTAGCTAGTCAGCTATTAGTGTTACAAAGGAAAAAATGTGGGCACCCAAGGGAGATGGGAGAGACGGCATTGACGTCAGGGGTAATTGGGTGTCTGAGAGAAATTGCCAACGGCTGGCCAAAACCCCCAGAGGCCCACACAAAGCCGAGCTGCAACTCTAATAAAGGAAAGTAAATTCTAGAAAGGGGCTTTGCTGCAAAGAAGCCTAGCAGGAACCAAAAATATCTCCCACATACACAAACACATACACACAAATGAAAAATACAAAATACGTTTAGGAGCTCTCTTTTGCACATCTGGTTTAGGCTAAAGTGCTTTCTACTTTTTTTTTTTTTTTTTGCAGGACCACATGGATTTTTATGTTGTACCGTATGTTCAACATCTATTTTTATAAACAGAATTCAGGGCTTTAAAGAAACTTATTTTTAATCATGTGGCTTTAAACTGCAATCACTCTGGCACCATTAAAAACAGTTTGGTCTTTTCTTTAAAGATCCTTGAACTTCCAAGGAGAATAACAAGTACGGTGGAGCCAATGGAGGGCCATGGCTAAGGAGCTGTCCGACTGGTAAAACTGTATTTGCACACCCAACACCTCTCCATCACCTGCACCCAGCTGTGTGTTTCAGTGACAAAACTCCCCACTCCCTCCTCCCCTCATGCAGGAAACCTGAGAGAAAAGATTTCAGACACCCTGGGCAGAATTTAGGGAGGACATGAAAGCTGCAGCTTATTCCTTCATTCATCCAGATCCCTGTCATACCAATATAGACCCACTGTCCTCCTAACACTCCACCACAGATGAAGAATAAAGTGGATTTGGTCAGTTCTTACCAAGACCAATGTGTCTTCATCCCCCTTCTCCTCCCCCCAGACTTCTATTATACGCCTCACACAATAAGACTCAAACATCTCGTCACTAAATGCATTGTAAAACTCAGATTGGTATTTTCCAGCATGATAAACTGCTTTGTATCTTCCACACTAAATGCAAAAACACTTTTTTAATAGGTGATTTAGAGTTTCAGCAAAGTTTCAAGAATAACAAGATGATCAAGAACATAATAGGTTCAAATCTGCTATTACACCTACCTGTGTCCACATCATAACTATCATCATCTGGAATCTACGGGGGTCCCTGTAAGCCCATCAAGTGACTGTTAACAATTTCACTTACAAGCTGCCCTCCACCCAGCCAAAGAGCAGAGGAGGCAGAATCAGGTTAGAAAGAGGCTGAGGTACAAACAAAATGGCCACACACAAAGCTCAAAGGGCTCCTTAAGCACCACAGCAGCAAGGGCATAAAGAAGTCTTTAACAATACACATATAAAATAGAGCTAAGTTTGAAAAGATCAGAAGTGCTTGATCGTAAAATTGCATTGCAGAGAACAAAATGATTATTGCTCTCAGAGAAGGAAGAGGGCTATTAACACAAAGAAACTCTCTAAGAAATGTAAATACAAAAACCTACACAGAAAGCAGATGCAAACATAAAAATGTCCCAGACCTTGGGATGTAAAGGTGAAATTTCTTCATCTCTTGCTGGTGAGCCCAAGTCCTGCAGACGATGCCATTCAGATGGAAGAGGGTCTGGAAACGGGAACGTGGGCCAGCAGGGCAAAGGGGGAGTGGTGTGGGGGGAGAGTATCTCCACTACCTCCATTATTTCTTGATGGCAAATCCACAACCATTGCTCAGGCCTCCAAGTGTTCGATAGGAGAGGCAGGCATTCTTCCCCCTTCACTTTCTACAGTGCTTACAGTTCACCAGAGAAAGGGCAATTAAAACCACTGGACTGACTCAGTAATATC